TTGAGGACTGGGTGGGGATGGTTAGTCACGCCCCTATGGTGAAGAGGCTCATTGATTTCTAAATTCCCTTTCGTTGGGTCTTGATTAGGCCTATTGTTTGGGCTAAGGCTGAATAGCTACTTTCAGTTAGCCTGATCAGCATGTCTATGTCCCTTACTGGTCAACAAGTTATTGTAAATAGGAGACAGGTTAAATCTGATACCTCCTTCACGGTTCAGAGAGGGTGAAAATTTTTTAACAGAAAGGGGAGTAAAGGAAGCGATTTTTGTTAAAAAATTTTCACCCTCTCTGAACCGTGAAGGAGGTATCAGATTTAACCTGTCTCCTATTTACAATAACTTGTTGACCAGTAAGGGACATAGACATGCTGATCAGGCTAACTGAAAGTAGCTATTCAGCCTTAGCCCAAACAATAGGCCTAATCAAGACCCAATGATAGGGAGTTTAGAAACCAATGGGCCTCTTCACCATAGGGGCGTGACTAACCATCCCCACCCAGTCCTCAAACAGGCCACGCTCAGCCTTTTAGCGCAGAGCAACTTCCCGGAGTCTTCACGGAGACTTCAGGGTTGTCTACCGCTGACGAAGCTTCTGTGAGAGAAGCGAAACGTCCTTTTTTGTTTTTTGTTTTTTGTTTTTTACCCACAGGTACAGATGACGACTGACAGAACCCTTTCTACGATGGAACTTTCCTGTACGACTGAGAGCCTCCACAAGCACAGAAGAATACACAAAAAGGCTCACAATGTCAACAGACAATACAATGTCAAAATTAAAATACAAAAATAATATAAATAAATTCAACACAAACATTGAAAACTATTGAATGTAAAAATCATATAAAAGCTTAGTGTGTGAGGAAGGTGTATATTAAGTAGAAAATAAATTTGAATTGCATGGAAGATCAGGGAAGAGATTAAAAAAAGGAAAGAAATTTGATGAAAAAAACGAAGAGGAAAAATGTCCGTTCGTTGTGAAACAAGAGTAAAATCAAAATGAATAAATTACCAACATTATTGTGGCAACCAATTTTATTAAACGTTAAAATGAACGAATATAAGCACTATTAGATCATATTGTATACATGAAATAAAACTTGCAAATACAAAATATTATATACGTGCACATGCGTCTGTATAAGCGGTGTCGTTTCGCGTGGCGATATTCATTGGCGGAAAATAATTAAACAAATAACGTGACGCTCGCCTGTGATTGGATTAGAGGGCAGACCGCACGGGAAGGGCGACGCCCACCACTGCTATGACGTAGGGTCCGGCTAACCGACGCAGTTTCTCGATTAGCGCTTTTGTCCGCCCTTACGTCCTTGTGATCTCGTGGAACGTCATCAGTCGCGGCCCAATTACTGTTTCTATTTAAAATTCGAATAAACCAAGAACGCACCGAATACCCGGATGTTGTTCTTGTCAAAAGACCGCACTCTGAGTCCTTGATACTGGCTGTTTCTCAACATGAAAAAAGCAGAGTATGGTCGTGTGAACTCACCGAGTACGGTCTTCCGAAGAACCTTCTCTGTGATTGGAAGGATGTTTACTTGTTAACTTCTTTGACGTACTGTATTACTCTAAAATCATAAAAAGGCAAGCGGTGGAGGGGTACAAACACGAGTCCTCTCCTCGGCCATTCTGATAGCATCACGAAATGCATCTTTGGATATTTTCCCAGCTAAGTCTTCACTACTCACCAATCGATGAATCCTTGATTTAAACTGTCTGACAAGAACAACATCTGGGTAGTCGCATGTACCATGACTTATTTATTTTCATGTATATAATTTATTTTATAAATATATAATAGATACATGTCTCACCAAGTTTAGGACCAGACAAGCGATGGAAAAAAAAAAAAAGTGTGACTTACTGTATAGTCCGAAAAATATGGTAAGGAACATTTCAGAGTCTGTACTTTTTCCACTTTTGTACTTTGTAAATTTCAGTCTGTACTTTTTTTTCTGTCCCGGTGTTAGAGGGCAGGTTGACCAATACATAGAGGGGGAGAAAAAAAGTTTATAAATACATCCAGTCTTTGGTGTTGCTTTTCTACTATATCCTTGCGATAGCCTTTCTATATAAGTACAGCGTATGGGTGCTGTTGCCACCCCTGCCTTTCTGTCAGTTTAGCATTTTGGCCCATTTCCCTCTACTCAGGCTTTTAGCGGTCGCTACGAGACAAGCTAACAGGTCAGTCCTGGAGTGCTGGCGGCGGCCATCTTGCTAACTATATGCTAATAGGTTAAGAGCAGGCCGGGTGATGGATGGTGTGTCTGCGGCCATTTAGCGACAAAGTGCTTTCAAAAGTCAAGACGCGACCAAAGTGCTTCAAGGACGAGCCCCATGTTTGTGATGAAACGTGAACAAGACAGGAAGTGGACGTAGAATTTAAACGGAATGTTGCCATAACGCGTTTAGCATAAAATGCTTACAGATATTTACATTTATAAACTGATTTTCGGGGACACGCACACCGGTTCGTATCTACTGAATTTGCGAGGAGTCTGAATTCATGACTTTGTTTGCACTTTTATTCCATGGTGCTTTTTGTGTCATAGAGACCTTTTGGAATAATGGCTGAAATATGAAAAATGATTGGCATTTCTGTGGTGTGTTTTCTTTGAATATCTTTTAGATTTGTCAACATACTATAATGACGAACCACTTTTTAGGCAGGCACGCATATAACAACAATATAATAGTCATTTCCTTACTATTGTCTCGTATTGGCAATTATTCTAATTGTCTTTATTGCTATAATGAGGCCTTTTAGTACTACTACTGCTACTACTACTACAACAAATACGAATGCTCATCGGTGGGCACTCCGTCAGTACTGACAGTAGGTCAGGTCAGTAGATGGACACAATTTTCTGACAAACGACGACTAACAAAATTGATTACTTCAAACACCTCTGCAAATGATAATGCAAAGCTTTGAATATTATTTTCTATTCCTAGTGTAATTGCTATTTTATATTGAAATTAATACTGGCTATTCACAACTGTATACCCAGGAGCGTATCAGTAAATTAGCATAGGGTGGAAACCTGAATTTATTTCAATCGTTCCATTCCAAAAGTGAATTTTTTAATTTTTATATACAGACGATTTTTTTCAACATGTATACCGTACTTGTTTTGCGACTTACAACGCTGTGTATGTTTTTGCCGACTGAAAAAAATGACTGTACATCTGCCTGTATATTCTTCATCTTATCTCACGTGTTAACATTTCGACTATTTCACGTGCAAGTGTTGTTCTTTGCTAAAATGCAATGCTGCTGACTACTCTTGCTGCTTTTCACATTCTTTCGTCGTCTATTTCCTCACGTCGTTCGACATTCCCATTGTGATACAATTCATGTACATGGCAAACGACAAGTACGACAATACTGTACTAATTATGTCTTACAACTTTTTTTTAAAAAATTATATATATATAGGTATGTATATATATTTTTTTCTATTTCTATTCTATTTATTTGCACACACACACACACACACACACACACACACACACACACACACAGAATGTAATGAAGTGAGTCAGTCCTCTCAAGCCGGAGTTTGATAGGAGGGAAGCAGGCTGCATAACAACAACTTATTAGGATGATGAAATGTCCTACAAGCATCCAAACACTCTTAAAAGAAAGCTCAGCTCAGATAAGGAGCGATGGGAGGCAGGGGGCACGGGAGGGGTGCTTACGATCCTAACCCGATTGGATCGACAGCTCGCGGCCGGAGGGGACGTAACCATATCAAAACGTCCGTCAAGTCCATGTCATGCATAATTAATTGAGCCCGCTACACAAAAATCTATGCTGATTGCATTACGGCCTTTCAGAGAACTCGTCTGAAGTGCATAGCGTCATGTCGTTTAGTGCCACGGCCTATTCTTGCTGCTTTTTTTGTGCACATTCACATCTGACATGAAAATTATTTGCTTAGTTATCAGCTCCGAGGGTTAATTATTGGTATGAAATGCATATAAAGAGTATTGTTATAGTACATTTACACTAACACAATGCTGCTAAGTTGCTTTTTGTGCTCATTCAATTTTTTATTTAGAGTACACCCTGGATCTTTGATAACAACTGCTTAGAAATGTAGAGGCTTTTGTGATGTGTACCTTTAAAGGATTTTGCTACAGGGAGTGCTGCTGACTATTCATGCTGCTGCTCATACTTGTATTTCTCAATGAATAGTTGTCACTCAGTAAATACTGCGTTGTCGTTGATTTCATTTTCAAATGCAAATATATTTGTGTACATATATCGATATAGCAATGCGCAGTTGTCAGTTGACCAGTTTGTTTTATCCTCAATCGCATGTACTGATAGAACATGTCCAATTTTTGCTACATTTCATGCTGCTCATGGGAGGTCTGTGCTATCTTGAGTTGCATTCTAGTTTTGGGCTGTGAAGTCAACATTGACACAAAAGTAGGACTAAATTGTTTTTCTCTTTTAAACTATTCGTGAAATAGAAATGAGTATCAATACTCACTGCCCAATCCCTGCACTGCTTTCCTCATGAATATTAACGTACGCGAAGTCCCCCTGCACTCTCTTGCCTTAAATTTAACAAGGAGCCATGCTGACATCTGCAGGACAGTAGAGGACGTACAACAAAAAGAAAACAAGAGCTTTTTATTCCCCAAAGAGAAGTACAGCATCAATTACATTACATAAATAAAATTGAGTTTTAATGCATCCATTTACAGCTTGATTGATAATATATTTCCAAATAGTTCTTTTTCAGGCCTTGAGAAACATACATAAGTCAACTTGTCCACATGCTGGTTGAGGCTTGTTCAGGACTAATGAGGACGGAGCACAGGGGGTAAGGCAGGTGGTCTTTGGGGCCACCCCTCCGGAATAAGTGAGCTGAAGAAGATTCGGACAAAGGAGCACGCCGTGGCGAGCAAGCCGGGGTCCTCTTGCTGGGCTTCGTCCATGCCGTTGTCCATCACCCGCTCCTAAAGACGCACACACCCACACACTCAGTTGCAATACCACTTTTAAAATGTTGACTGTACTGTCCTTCTACAGCCAGCAGAGGGAGCTCTCACTTCTCAAATTAAAATGCAATTTTTCTTCATGGTCAGAAGAGGGCCTTCCACCGGGCTCATTTCTAGTCATCCACAAAACAATATAAAGGTGGTTTTGCACATTGTCTGTTTCAGTAGGAATTAAATTGGCTAGTCGCTATTCTGAAAAGATTACGAAAGGGTCAAAGAAGCAGATAAAGTGACCAAATAGCTAAAATGGCTACCCTGATTGCACTTTATGCAGAGTGGCTCGTCTATGTTTGCAGCCTTGTCATTTGTGTAAAATGTTATCATCTGATAAAATCGATTAATTGCTAAAACCGAGTATGTCAAAACACACCAGTTCCCAGATGCCCCGTTGCATCTCCGCTTCCTCCCAAGCTTGAGCTTGTTCAGGATCCTGAAAGTTCGGCAGCTCTTGCTGCTGCTGTTGATGCGCTACTGTTCTGAAGGGAAACCAGCCCACCTGGTGCCTAAAAAGAAAAAACAAATCTTAACTTCTGCTTCAGGCAGCGTTTAAGGGTCAAAGAACGACTTGGCGAAAAGTCCGGCATGCAGCCAGCTTCCCCCCCAAGTGACTCACAGGTAGACGAGCATCATGGCTCCCACCACCATGATGAAGTGGCCGAAGGAGCAGTGGAAGTAGACAAAGCTGAGCAGGACGCAGCCACGGAACAGCGCATACAGCCAGTCCAGCCAGTCGCGGTTGAGCTCGTCCTCGTTCAGCGCGCCGCCGCCCTGTACGTTTATTTGGATGTTGGCGTTGGCTGCAGGAGGCAGCGCCAGGTTCTCCGGCAGGGGGTCGGCGTCCGGGACGGCGGGCGCCAGCGCGGCTTCGTTGGGCCGGGAGGGCGGCAGTTGTGAGGTGGCGGAGGGGAAGCTGGGAGTCTGGGAGGCCACCACCGCCGCTTGACTGCGAAGAGAAAGACCAAGAGTGACAGACTGATTTGATTTTGAAGGCCATTTCAAAACAGAAAAATTGTGAAGATATGTGGAGGTCCTGGGGCGCAACTCCAAACTCAGTCATTTTTGGTCATTGTTTGGAATTTGGCTAGCGGTGGTCACACACATTCTGCCAGCTGGAAGTATATTGGTGTCTCTTGTTTCCAAACGTTATGAAAAGGTATGTGTGACATTTTAATTACACTGTGATTTTGCCTATTTTCTGACATGTTCCAGACCAAACCGGTAACTGAATCTTAATTATGTGTGCCTAGTTTCTGCACTGTCAGTCTGAAATCACGCCCTTCTTGGAATATAGGGATGGAAATGAAAACTTTTTAACAATCAGATTCATCAATCGACAAAATAATTGCCAGATTAATCATCAGTAAAAATAATCATTCATTGCAGCCCTAATTGCTACAGTACATGAATGCTGCGTATCTGCTCTTAAGAGTCCCGACTAAAACCACATCACTGTTTTGTGATATTATGATAGTCATTGAAGCAATTTTTTCCTTTTTTTTAAAAGAATGGTATTTTTGTGTGATTTCAGACAATTTACAATCACAAATCTTACTTATATGCATCTAAAAAAACAAAAGACTTTGGAAAGATGTATTTAATAATGATTTACTTCATTTTGATGCCAATTCAGGCCTTGTTTTTAGAACCACGTCTCTTAATACCGCCTAAGGATCTGCCACAACCCTGTCGGTTTGTGTTGTACAACAAGCAACATCCCAAAGTGAGACAAATACTCACTACTGCATGTAGTAGTGCCGCGCGTACATCTGCTGCCACCACAGCATCTGAATGGGCATCAACATCTGGCCACCTCGCAGAGGCGTCGGAGCTCCGCCTTGAGGTCTGATGATGAATATGAACAAGAAAAAGAAGCAAATTTGTCCTCTCAGAGAATAAAATATGAGGTCATGTGCTCTGCTTACAATCGAGGGATACCAGCAGGGCTGAGAGGGTTCAAGCTGACGATGCCACCTCGACGTCTGAGATCATCAGGACCTCCCGAGATGGAGGTACTGTCACGAAGTGCTGACCTTGCACTTTCGGAACTCTTAACAAAGATGAGAGGACATGTCAGAAGCTGACACGTGAAAGAGGTGAGAAGAACACACACAGAGGTACAGCGGCGGTTTGGTACTCACGCCGGCATTGAGCGCGGAGGGGCAATGGGTTGCAGGCGAGCCCGGCGGGGTGCAAGAGCCGCACATCAGATGCAAGATGGCGTACTCGTTGTGCGGCTGTTCCACACGATTGGCACGGACAAATGCGACAATGAAGATCGAAAGCTTGGAGTGAGTGTTGGTGTATGCTGATATTCTTATGAATAAATCAAATTCAAATTGATATTGCCAAGTAGGAGAATGCAATTTTCAAATAGTAAAGGCTGCAATTTGTAGAGTGAGGGTGGGGGTGAGGGGGGGACTTATTCATTTTGGTCAGTAGGCTTTACTCAATTCAGTTGAGTTTTTTTCAAAATTGTTCATGTCAGGCGTTAGGATTTAGAGGTTATGAATGAGATGCCGCCTTTTAATAGCCACTCAGCATCCAGCCACAATCAAGTCAGGTCAGGTTCCTTGCAGTGGCAGAACAATATCAGTTGGTGGCGGTAATGTGCCATTTAAGCTAATTTGTCAACCCCACATTGGGCCCCACGGAAGAAGAAAAAGCAGGAAAGCTAGGAAATACAATTTCGGTACTGTCGTATTTGGTGATCACATTTTGTGTTTGCGGGTTATTTGGAAAGTGAATGTTATTCATGTGGGTGTTTATCCAGTAAAATACTGTTATGTGCAGCTTTTCATATGAAAAAAAAAACAAAAAGTTTAAAAGAACTTTTTTTTAGAAGTCAGACAAGATCTCAAGGACCAAATCATTTCTGAAGGACCACTGCAAGTGACCAAACTGAGGCTAAAATGGCCACCCCAAAACAAAATGTCAGACTTCATGCATCTTCTGGATTTTGAAATAAGCAAACATGCTGATCTGGGGTGCTGCCGTGATGAAAGTGTACCTGTCGCAGTACATCTCGTAGCTGGAGGTGGTCCTGCAGGAGCTTCCCTGAGTACACTAGCTGCTGATCTCTGGAGCGCTGCAGTACACATTGAGGAAATTCTTAATAGACCACTCGACAATGTTTGTCAACAACAGGTGCCAGGATACTTAAGGGTGGCAGAACTGTGAATGACCATTGACCTGAATAGAAAAGATTACAAAGATGTGTTTGGTATTGCGTTGTCACATATACCCCCCCCCCCCCACAAAAAAAACGTTGAGGTTGAATTCCTGCCTAAAATTTGTGATTAATCACATGGAGTCTGTGGATCTGGAGGAGTTTTTCTTTCAGCTTGTCCTACATGCGGTTGCCACAGCAATAAGTGACCCACATGACTTGGCACTTTGTATGTATTTATTTATTTTTACCAAATCCTCTCTCTGATTAGTCTGAGCAACAGAAGTAAATTATTTAACCAGTCCTTATTGATTTACATAACAGCTGCGCGTGAGCACGCTTTTAGGGCACATGCCCAAAGAGCATTGTAGTTTGTTTTTTTTTTTTCCTCCCACCACTTTTAGTGTGTATGGTGTGCATGACGCCAAACATTCGTTTCGTGAAGCCATGACAAACGTCTTACTCTAAGCATGACTTACTGGCTTACTGGGGTACACAGTGGCGATGTGACTCTTGAGCTCCTCCACAGTCCAGCTCAGAAAGCAGTTGATTGTGCAGTCTTCATGCTTTTGGTCGGACGCCTTAATGACTAAAGTGACCGGGGTGTCTGCTCCTCCTGACTCCATGGCTCATGGTCGTAATGTCGGCAAAGGTCAGGGGACATTTAGCAACGACCTCAGGAGGAAGCTCCCCTCAAAGCATCATCGGGGGACGCTTGCCTTTCTACATTATCCGTTGGTGTTGCTTTACTCTGTCTTTAGGGATATCGAGTGAGAAGGGGAAGAGATTAAAACCATTCATTTGCACTCACGGGATTTTAATTGACACTGATACTATGACTTAACGGTTCAATTATTTTCATGTCCAAGTCAATAAGTTTACGTCTAGGCAAGGTCACCCTTGTAAGAGAGATCCCAATCTCAATGGTTTGTTCTAGTTAAAATAATGAAAAAAGAAGAAAGGAATTTGAGCAGCCTGGTAATTTGTTATGTGTCAGAAATTACAAAAACAGGTCGCCGCCATATTGCTGGGGAGGCAAATATTGTTGGCCACTATTGTTAAATAGGTGTTTTTAGATCTTCTTCTTCTTCTCCTTTCGGCTTGTCCCTTTTCAGGGGTTGCCACAGCGAGTCATTAAAATAGGTGTTTTTAGATATTGTCCATAAATTGATGAGATATTTAAAGATACTTTATTCGTCCACTATACCTAAAGCGAAAAGTAGAGATTGAGCGCTCATTGTCAAATAGCTAAAATAGCCGGTCTGGATGTTGTGCTGACTTTAAGACGGCGAGCAAAACCCGAAATGGTTAAACACAGGGACAATTTAGCAACCAAGTTTAGTTTTTTGTGTTTTCCACTATTTAAAATGTTATACGTGTGTAACTGGATGGCGGTGACCTGGCGTAAAGACTTAACCACATACAATCGCACGCACGCCGTCTAGTAATGTTTACCAGCGTTTGCTCGGCGGCTATCCCTGGTAGCTCGCTGGCTAGCAACATCGCTCGCCACCTGCCCCGATTCTCTACCGGTTGACTCACGACTTTGACAGCGCGAGTATTAATCTAAACGCGTTTTCAACGTGGTGACGGGACCTTGTGTACCTGATAACAATGCTGCGAGGGCAAATGCCGCAGTCGCCGTCTTCAATTTTCGATTTACTCGACCCGTCTTGTTGTTGATGACGTCACGACGGAATTCAATCTGACGTCAAAAATAAGCGTCCCTGAATGTCATATAGGCGTGACATTTGTGCAAAATATGACACAAGTGCATATTTTTAACGTATCATTGGTTTTCTTTAAGCCGCAGCAGTATCGTATAATGCTGCATTCGAGGGTGGTGGGAATGCCTTGTCCCAGTTTTGACCTCAAAATGTTCGAGGCGAATGTAAACAACAAAGATGGCTGATTCCAATGAATTATTTGTGCAGGTTCATCACAACACATTTTGAGCTCCAGCAACCCTTCGTCATTATTTCCTTAGTGTATATAAATAAATGAATATCGTATATTCAAAGCATTTCGTTCATTTCACCAAATAACGGCATAAAGGGAGATCACATATCTTCACAGTCAGCACAACTAAAGTTGTGTCAAGTAATTTTTTTAAATAACTAAACTAATGCGATAATAAATATGTGATTATAATCTTGTAAATTATGCCTTGCCATTTACGGTCTGTCTCCATGGGGTCACCCTTGAAGAGTGACTTCACATTGAAGCCAGTCGGTGAACTGTAGGTACCCCGTCGCCCCCATCGACTCCAGCTACTCGGACCTCCCAGTTCAAAGTAGTCGGAAGTCAGAAAATTCACATTTGCTCTTTTTTTGAAAACCACTAAAAGTTGGTTTTAAGGAAAATGAAAGCCCTATTTTGGAGGAAGATATACTTAAATATTTGGTGCAATTTGAATCAGACTTTTTTTTTTTAAATACAAATTTCAACCATACTGTATAGTAAATTCACGTGATTTGTATTTTGTATCATTCACAGTGCATGCAGAAAAAATTAATCTCCATTTTTTTTCCAATCTGGAAGTGAAAGGTGTTGAAATGAGCACTTTTCTACCTATGAGCATTCGGCAATCCATTAAAAGTTAGGGATATTGGGCTTTTTCTGATACTGGACACAAAAACCTAATGATCCAACCTTTTTGTGACTACTGTATCCATAAAAAGGTTCGAGCTGATGCTTTTGTTACGTTCAAAGCTTGAGTTTGAGCAGAACCTCGTCGGCCAGCCTCTTATTGTAGCGGTCGATCTTCCAATGTCCTGGCATCCACCCCAGCAGGAACCGGCGGAAATCGGTCCATGCAAAGGCGAACATTTCCCTCCACTCCTTCTCCAACGCCGCAAAGTCCACCTGGGCGCTCACGACATGCTTTAACTCGGAAAAGTAGTGATCCAGCAGGCCCGGCACCTTCTTGTCACCCTCTCTTTCTTCAAGGCAGCTTCCTAGGAAGTATGCCACATCTTTCATCCCACAGCCACCGCCGACATACTGAAAGTCCACGGCCGCCACATCCCGTCCGTCAGAGGAGAAGCAGAAGTTGGCAAGCTTGGCATCGCCATGCACGATGGTAAGGAAGCGGCAGCTATTAAGCACCTCATCCACGGCGCCGGCCGCAGCCTTTAGCCTGGCGTCGTCCATGGCCTCCAGCTCATCCGGGCGCGTCTTCAGGTGCCAATAGGTGCCTATTGGCCACAGGCCCTGCGGGGCTACCCCCAGGAAGTGAGCATGGAAGTGGGCCAGCCAGCTGAGGCACGCTCTGATCTCATAATCTTTCACGTTGGTTCTGTGAGGACAACAAAAAGGGAATGCATATCAAAATACTGAATGTGGTGCAAAATTTCTAATCGTATACAGTTTATTTCTTTTATAAAGTACGACACAATTGTGGAGGACACAAATTCAGTGATGTAATCCTATCAGATCACACATGTAAAATCTACAATTGTTGACTATGTTCTGTCACTGTAGGGTCTGCAACACAAAAAATGCACGAGTGAAAAAAATCCTAAACCATAGGGTGCAAAATCCACAAGTGTTTCCTACATTTTATCTTTTTTTTTTAATATATATATATACACCACTACACATCTGTGCCCCAAAAATGCAGCTGTAAAATCCTATAAGATCATACGGTTCAAAACCTACAATTATTTGTACACTACACATCTGTGCTACAAAAATGCAACTGTAAAATCCGACAAGATCATACGGTTCAAAACCTACAATTATTTGTACATTTTATTATAATTCATTTTATTAATTTTCCACTGCATATTTATGAAGAAAAGAGACAAATATAGTCATATTAGATCCATGCTAAGTACTGGCCTTTGTTACCATGACGGCTGGGGTGGAGTAAGGACTTGTTTGTGGACTCATGTTGAGAAATAACTAAAGACTTATTTAGTTTTGGCCATCTGTGGGAGGGATCTGACCCTATAATACTACTTGCAATGCAATAAATGCATAAAACGTGTATTTAAATGAAAAAAAAATACCTTCTTTGGTTATAACCAGCCACATCCAGGTCTTCCAGCACAATTAGCATCTCGTCTCCATGGGAAGAAGCGGCGAGACACGCGGGGATACGCCGCCTGGGAGT